GTTTGTTTGGTGCTGTCTTTTTCAAATGTCTTACGTTGCAGTGAAGCGTCTAGTGGTACATGCAGCTAACGCAGGAAGGGTCTAATGTTCTGAGCACTTGTTTCTGTATTAGGAGGACGACATGGAGTGGTTAAGGACCCAAATAACTATGACCGAGGTCAACATATCCCGCGTGCACAATTACGCAGTGTCGAAACGGCAACTGGATCAACCCGCTGTTGGCACCGGCAAGCTTTCACACAGACAGCCCGAACCCTCCCTAATTTCTTAACTAAATGCTGAAAGCCGTCAACTCTGCATGCAAGCCGTCAGCGAATCTGTTGCAATATACAGTATATCGGTAGCTACGCAGGGCACTGCCTACGGGAAAGCACTGTTTGCAGCTAAACGCCTACCCAGAATTCCCTGCCCTCACTGCTAAAACATAACACGGCCTAAGACGCCTCTGTGCATCCTGTATATTCTGAATATTCTTCTTTTGCACCTACGCATTTGTTGCTCAACNCTAAGACGCCTCTGTGCATCCTGTATATTCTGAATATTCTTCTTTTGCACCTACGCATTTGTTGCTCAACGTAGAAAAGGTACATACAAGGGACGGAGACAGTCCTGGATTGGTGCTGCAGTAGCATCAGAAACAAATGGTCGATGCCGACAGTTGAGGTTTGCTGTTGTGGGTTGTGTTTCCGCAGCTCCCTCAGCAGCGCCAGAAACTGCGGCTGCTTGAGCCGCTTGGGAAGCGGTAATTTGAGGCTAGAGCCTCAATCAGATCTGTCCAGTGCAGAGAGGCATTGTTTTCCCTGTCTTTTGCTTCAAGTTCAAACTTCGTTTGTCCATCCATGAAGTACTGCCACTGTCTGTCGTAATTCCCTGCTTCCACCAAAGGCTGCTGTACAAGTGGCGACATAAACTCGAGCTAGCAAAGAATCAAGGAGCCCATATACTGCTCCGCTGGGAAGCCTCAGCACAGCCAAATTGCCTACACTTGACGTCTCAGGCTGGGCCTAGCGATAGCGAACTACATCCCCTCGCCGTGCAGTGGCTGCCGACAGGCCTGGGCGGCGAACAGTCGTTCACAGTTTCATTAAACATACCGTGGGACTAGGAGGAATTGAGAAAAGTGGGAAAGCTCACGCTTGGCTCTCTTGGGTTGCCTTTTGAGCTCGAGGAATCCTGGTGACGAGNTGCACAGCAGACAATTCATCATAATAAACTTCCGGGAAAAGGCTCGCTCACCAGTGCAAGTAAATTTGCTCGTTGCATCATTGCTACGATGGCGGGTTGGAAGCGACGCAAAATGCAAGTGCATGCTTTCTGCCGGGGCATCTATCTCTCTCTCACGTAGTGTATCGGTGTGCTGAATAGAAGAGGCCCTTGCGGGAGGTAAACCCTTGGTGTTCCGCTCTTCAGTAGACTTCTGGTCGCAGCGGTCTGTGGCTGTCTTACACCCGACCGAGGAAAATGCAGGGCCCGCCAGGTTACGAACAGCGTGCAGCGTAAATGTGCGAACTTGAGTTTGCTTGTTTGTCGCCGGTAAGGATACGGATGTGCCATCCGCCGCCAACGCTTTCCAGCGCTCCATGTTGTCGTCCAAAGTGGACAGCACCTCTGCTCTGCAGGCATAAACAGACATGTAACTTGTACGAACAACAGCACATGAAACAAAGCAACTGGCTGCTTATGCGAGAACTGCTGCTGATGCAACGGCCGGCCTGGTAGTCTGTCCACTTGTGGAATGGCCGCCGATCAGTCCTGCTGCTGTTCACGAACGCGACAGGAGAGAATCTTTTACTGCCTACACAAGAGACGTACGCCATCTGTTTGTGGCCATCCAACTCAACCAATTCAGCAACAAGCGGTCGAGCTACAAACGACAAGAAACTTTCTTGCGACTTTGCAATATCCATTTGGGCCGCCCGGCTGCACAGTGGCGATACCGACATACCCCGTCGCAGTTCCTGCAGCAACGAATACAACATTTAGTTCTTTGAATTCACCGTACGGCAAAACGAAAGATGTAAAGTGTGTTCCAAACAGGTCA